AGGAAATGGTACTACTCTAAAATGTTAGCAGAAAGATGGGCAGTGGTGTAGTGGTATGCTTTGAAGGGCAGATGTTCATCATACAGTCTCCATAGCCACACTCTAAAGAAGAGTCCAAAAAGGCAGGCAGTTGTGTTCACACACACACACACACACACACACTAGTTCTAGCACTTCTCCTCTATGAAAGAGCAGGTCCTTTGTAATGTCAAAGGGCCTTAATTGCCCATTAAGACCAACACATTGCAAATGACTTACAGTCCCAAGGGGATCAATGTTGATGTTTGTAGGAGAACTGGGTCCCTACTCTCCTTTTTGGAATTTTGGATGGTTCTAATATATGCATTCCTTACTGCACAGTTTGCAGCTAAAGATTAAAGGGACCTGGAAACTCTGAGGGGGTGGAAGAAAACAACCCCGCCCCTGCTAACAAAAATAAGGCAGTGCCACATCTCTGTGGGTCCTGGACCTACTATGCCACTGATAATGGAGACTGAGTACGTGGCCAGAGTAATGCTGGACAGGTTTTTTTAACCCCAGTCCCACCCACTCCCAATATGACAAGCGGGACCTCATGAAATCCTTCTGGCCCCTTCCAACTCCACTATTCTATGATTCTACGAAAACCCCTTTTCTGCAAACTGTTAATAGTAAAGATAGACCTGTGCTTGCAGAGCTGCGTGGCATAGTGGTATGTTTCCATGTAAGACTTGAGGAAAGGAAGTACTTTTGGACTTAGGAATCACCCCTATTTTAATAGCTTTCCTATGTGCTCTTAGTTACAGGAACAATGTGACACTGTAAAACTGACAGCCCACTATTCTGCAGGTATGGTTAATTACATGGGTTGATTTATTTAATATTACATTTCTAATCCCCCTTCTTCTTTTGCAAGGAACCCAAGGTGACTTACATGGTGCTCCTCCTCTCTATTTTATCCTCACAACCTTGTACATTAGATTAGGCTAAAAATCAGTGACTGGCCCAGAGTCACCCGGTGCACCTTGAGTCTGAGTAGGGCTAAAACGTGCATCTTCTGAGCCCAGTCCAACAGCACAGCCCCTGAACTGCTGTATCACCCACATTCCAGCTGAATGAGGAGCATATGGTAAGGAGCTTCTGCAGTTGTACTGGCCTACTATGCTGGGACTTCAATCTCTGTTATCACCAGCCAGCAATGGTGGTGGTAGACTTTTAAAGCCTGCATTAATACTATGAGATAAACTAAAGGAACTGCCGCAGCTGTAGTAAAGTTTTAAAGTGTGGCAGAATCTAAGGACACTAAGAAACTGTTCACATGTTCTATGTGTTCATAAAGAAATATTAAAGCACCTATCTGTGTACAACAATAAGCAAAACAAATTCGTGCTGGAAGCTGACAATGCAAAGACCTTTGTTTCCACAGAGACCTATTACAGAGGTGCAAGATGGGGGAATTGTTTACAAGCAGCAATCCTGCATCATTGTTCATTCATGCTGCTATAAAAACCACCCAGTGGTTTGTGACCTGGGTTGTAGTACACTTATTTTAGAAAGACATGAATGTGCTAACATCTGTAACATTTTTGATTGTTTTTATAATTTTATTGTATTTTAATTATATTTTAATATATTGTATATTGTACTTTAATCTGTTTTAATTTGTTTTTATGGAGTCGTCCCTGGCCATGTCGACGTTTGTGTTTCCTGGGGAGCGCGGGGGCACCGCCATTGGGGTGGTCATGGGCAATGGATGTAATAGCGGTGGGGGCTTAACATGTCCGCACAGAAGAAGGAGGGACAGATGGTTGACACCTGTCCCTCCTTATGGTTTTGCCCCCAGCCAGAGGGTTCCAGGTAGTCTTGTCAACTGCCCCTCGGGCCTGACGGTGCTGTTGCTCAATGCCAGGTTGGTCAACAATAAATCTTCCCTCATCCATGACTTGATTGTGGATGAGGGGGCCGACCTGGCTTGCATAACGGAAACCTGGGCGGGGGAGGGGGTGCCACCCTCTCTCAAATGTGCCCACCCGGGTATCTGGTTCAGCACTATTCACAGCTGGAGGGGAGGGGAGGGGGGGTCGCTTTGGTTTACCGAGCCTCCATCTCTCTCATGGGACTTCCGGTCCCTTCGAGACCAGGGCTGAAGTGCCTCTACTTGGTGTTGGGCGACCGAGACAGATTAGGGATTCTGTTGGTGTACTGTGCACCCTTCTGCCCAACAGTCTCCCTGCCTGAGCTGACGGAGATCGTCTCGGACCTGGTGTTGAGGACCCCCAGGATGTTGGTCATGGGGGACTTCAATCTCCATGCCGAGACTGATCTGACCGGGGCGGCTCAGGACTTCATGGCCTCCATGGCAGCCATGGAGCTGTCTCAACATGTCATCGGCCCAACCCATGAACGTGGACACACTCTGGACCTGGTTTTCTCAACGGGGCAGGAGGAGGGTGGTCTGAGGGTGAGGAATTTATGTTTGACACCCCTGTCATGGTCAGATCACTTCCTGGTGAGGTTTCTGCTCGAGAGCGGCCTCCCCCTCTGTAAGGGTGCGGACCCGATTGTGTGGGTCCGCCCCCGGAGCCGGATGGATCCGGATGGATTCCTGAAGGCCCTGGGGGAGTTTCCGGCTGACAAGACTGGTGCTCCTCTCGAGGCTCTGGTCGAACTGTGGAACGGGGAGATGACCAGGGCTGTTGACATGATTGCTCCTAAGCGTCCTCTCCCACCGGGCAGAGCCCACTCTTCCCCCTGGTATACACCTGAATTGCGGGCGATGAAGCAGGCTGGGAAACGACTAGAGTGTAGGTGGAGGAGATCACGGGATGAATCTGACCGAACACACTTGAGAGCCCATTATCGGGCCTATGCTGTGGTGGTGAGGGCAGCGAAAAAGAATTTCTTTTCCATTTCCATTGCCTCCTCAAAATGCCATCTGGCGGAGCTTTTTCAAGTGGTGCAAGGCCTGGTTCGTCCAGGTCCTAAGAAAGATCTGGTTCCACCCTTGAAGGCCCGCTGTGATGACTTTGCCAAGCATTTCAGGGAGAAAATCGCTCAGATTCGTCACGAGCTAGACTCTACTAGTGACTCAGAGGTTTCTGGGGAGACACCAATGCTGCCGTCTGGTGCAAAATTAATGGATGAATTTCAGTTACTGTGGCCTGATGATGTGGACAAGGTGCTTGGATGAGTACGTCCCACCACTTGCCTATTGGACCCTTGCCTGTCTTGGTTAATAAATAATTCCAAGCACGGGATTGGGATCTGGATCTTGGAAGTAGTTAACGCCTCTCTGAGGGAGGGTCGGGTACCTGCCCCTTTAAAGGAGGCGGTAGTCCGATCGGTCCTGAAGAAAGAGTCACTGGATCCAGAGATGGCCACTAATTATAGACCAGTGGCCAACATCCCGTTTCTGGGCAAGGTGTTGGAGCGGGTGGTGGTGGGACAACTCCAAGCTCTCCTGGATGAAACTGATTATCTGGACCCATTTCAGTCCGGCTTCAGACCCGGGTACGGTACTGAATCTGCCTTGGTCGCCCTGTATGATGACCTGTGCAGGGAGAAGGACAGGGGGAGTGCGTCCCTGTTGGTTCTTCTGGACCTCTCAGCGGCTTTCAATACCATCGACCATGGTATCCTTCTGGATAGGCTAGCGGGATTGGGGGTCAGGTTCCACTCCTATCTCAATGACCGATTCCAGAAGGTGGTGCTGGGGGACTATGGCTCTGCGCCATGGCAGCTATGCCATGGAGTACTGCAGGGGTCCATTTTGTCCCCTTTGCTGTTTAACATCTACATGAAACTGCTGGGAGAGGACATCAGGAGGTGTGGGCTGCGGAATTATCAGTACGCTGATGATACCCAGCTCTACCTCTCGTTTTCCACCAATCCAGGTCCTCTTAGGGACAAGGTCCGCAGCTTGGGAGTGCTCCTCGACCCAGAGCTTTCACTGGAAGCTCAGCTGACAGCAGTGGCGAGGAGCGCTTTCCTTCAGCTTCGGCTGATCCATCACCTGCGCCCCTACCTGGAGGATGACTGCCTGGCGACAGTGACACACGCATTGGTGACTTCCCGCCTTGACTTCTGTAACGCGCTCTAACGTGGGGCTACCCTTGAAGACAGTCCGGATACTTCAATTGGTTCAAAATAGAGCTGTCAGGCTGCTGACGGGGACTGGGCGTTATGTTCACATGACTCCAGTCCTCCGTCAGCTTCACTGGCTTCCCATTGAAGTCCGGGCCCAATTCAAGGTGTTGGTGATGACCTATAAAGCCCTAAACGGCTTGGGTCCTGGCTACCTGAAGGAGCGCTTACGTCCATATACGCCTGCCCGCCCCCTGAGATCTGTGGGAGAGGCCCTTCTCCGGGAACCCTCCGTGAAGGAAATTAGGAGGGTAGGTACTCAGAGGAGGGCTTTCTCTGTGGTGGCGCCCAATCCATGGAATGCGTTCCCCAGAGAGGTCTGCCTGGTGCCGTCGTTATTTGTTTTTCGGCGCCAGGCGAAGACCTTTTTATTCAAACGTCATTTTAACTGTTACTACTATTTATTTATTTTATTCTTTGGCCAGAGCGACTTATTTTATATTGTGAATTCGTTTTATATTTTTAATGTATTATATTTTAATTGATGTTTTGTGAGCCGCCCCGAGGCTTTGGCGAATGGGGCGGCATAGAAATTTTCTAAGTAATAAAATAATAATAATAATAACATCACTGTAACAGCAAACTAAAAGCATGTTCAGACAGAAATTATATAAAGTACTTAAAATGTGTTCAGTAAGACCCCCAAATTTACTTTATTCATTAGCATTCTGATGTGTTGCAAACTTGGTTCTCTTTTAAAAAAGAAGCTGACATCCTATCAGTTTTCTACATTAGTGGCAACAATCCAAAAAAATGCAGCAGCAAATGGTGTTGTTAAATAGGCCTTCTGCTTATATTCAAGTTCACCAGGGCTTCAAGACGTATTACATCTGGGTCGTCCCCCCACAACCCAAGCCCACTTAAGATCATTTCCTTACTTAGAGTACGCTGGAGCAACCCAGTATGGGCTCTCCTCCGCTTCCTTTGCGTGCCGTAAAATGGCCTCCCGAGGGTTGCTATCATCAGTCTTATCCAGTGCAATATTCTTGACTATGTACGAAGACAAAGTACCACCATGAGTTCCAACACGGCCACCGCGACCTAATATAGGAGAGAATGAACAGATGTGCAAAGTGCTTAGAACAAACAGAAGAGGCAAAGCTCAGAAGAAAAATTTAAAAACTGCATTCACACAGATGAGGAGTGAATGATTCTCCTGTTACGTCACCAGCTCCAGCTTCTAACATGTGAGTTACGATGGATTTTACAGGGTGATTCAGTCTTGCACAAATGAGTGCACAATGGCCTAAGCACTTTAACATCAAACCTAGTTACCTGGTCCTGCTACTGGAGGTTCAGGTTTGTGAGATTTCATGGGATCCAATCTATCCTTTTCCAACTGCTTTCTTGTACTTCGCTGCCGAGGTTCACGAAACATTGGAAGAGCATGAGCTGTAAGTTGGAAAACAACAAGACATATTTTTATTTAGCCTCAGAAGGTCTAAAGATTAACAGGATACAACATTTTTGCAACAGGAACCATACATATGCCACCCTGAGACACTGTAAAGGGCTGGATATGATTCAACCAATCAATGGCTTGATTTAAGGTATTAAGGTTGACACATAAAGCCCTAAACAGTTTAGGGCCTGGATACTTGAAGGAATGTCTCCTTCTATATACACCTTCTGGAAGCTCATTTGCCGAGGGTCTTCTCTGGGAGCCCTCTTTGAAGAGAGGGTACTCAGGGCAGGGCCTTCTCCGTGATAGCTCCCAACTACAGAATCTGCTCCACAGATTCCTTGTACCTGGCGCCAACTATTTATTCATTTCAACACCAGGCCAAGACCCTTTTATTTGCACAGGATTTTAATAGTTAGAATGTTTTAACTGCATATTTTATATATAGTGGTACCTCAGCTCACGAACGCCTCAGTTCACAACCAAATTGGGTCACGAACAAAAATTTCATAAAAATTTTTACTCAGGTTGCAAACTCCGCATTGGGTGGTGACCGTGATCACGGCCATCTCCCTGCGCTCGTCTTTCCTGCACGAGTGTGTCCGTGATTGCGCCCGTCTTTCCTGCATGAGTGCAACCACAATCTCGGCCATCTCCCCCCCAGCACGGTCACACCTGCGTTCACACCCGTCTCCCCCCCAGCACACCGGCCCGCAATCGCGCCCGTCTCTCCCCCTCCAGCGTGCCGATATGACAGGCGTGTGCAGGAATGACAAGCGCAATTGCGGTCGTGCTGCGGGGGGACAGGGAGATGGCCTTGCTCGTGCTCGGGGTGAGGGTGGGGGAGATGGCCGTGATCTTTGTTGCTCTTTGTCTCTTTGCTTCCAATTTTTCTGATTTAAAAAAAAATAGTTACAGAACGGATTAACCTTATTTACATTGAACTTTATGGGGAAATTTAACTTGGGTCACGACCAGAGTCCTGGAATGGATTAAGTTCGTGAGCCAAGGTACCACTGTATTCTGTAGGTTATGTTTTTGCAAGTGCCTTTGTAGCTTTGTTCTGTTTTTATGTAAGCTGTCTAGAGATCCTGACTGAATATAAGACAAGACATACATGTGAGGGAGAGGGAGGGAGGGGGAACTTTCCTCAAAATGTAAAATATTAAAATCTCAGCAAAGCAATAGCCAGAACACCTGTTTTTTCTTCAAACTTTGGAACTGTGGAAAAGGTGGACGGCAACATTCCTTGCTCGTCTCTTACAGGTCCAAGGGTAGGAGGAGGGTTGCACGTTGCCTGGCCTTGACTATGGTTAATAATGGTCAGACGTAACCATTAAATGTAATGTTAAACTATATTAGAGAGAGGCTGCGGAAAATTCAAGAGCAAAAGATGTGTTTTTTCAATTCTATAATGCAGTTCTGTGATGTTTTACTGTTGTTTTAGTCTACATTGCATTTGACTGTATTTACTCAAAAAGCTTCAGCTATTGGGTAGTACAGAAATAAACAAATAAATAAATAAAAGAGAGAAAACAGAGCATATGATCTTGCAACCCTTTCTTGATTGCTAACCTATAATAAACATTTGGCTAGAGTTCTATCTATGGGCCCTAAAGTATTTATTCAAATTTTTGCCACTTCAGCATGGAAGCAAACAGAGCAACTATGATGCATAAAGCGCCCTGATAGCCAAACATGGTTGGGACCCTACCAGATGACCCATCGCCAACGCTGCTCATGCAACCAAGTGATCACAAATTGGATGAATCGCTGGGCTTGAAGCCATATTCAAGACAGTTATGCCTGGGCACAAAGTAGATACTGAAGTGCTGTAGATACAGCCTAATCCAGCTCTTAGGGGTTGTTTAACTGATCAGCATTACAACTACGTTCTTGTTTCAGATGGCTTCAAAACTAGATAAACAAACAGTTACGTCTTACATCTGTATGTCACATGAAGCATGAAGACTCAACCTTATGTTGACTAGTGGTATGCTATACAATTTTGCTCAGAGTATCCGAGGTAACCAAAAACATTCCCATATGTAGACATAAGCCTTGGGGAAAATCCATCTAAGTGATATGCCTCAATTTAAAAAAATAACAACACTTAATCCCCTCAGGTGAAGGTGCCACATATTAAGGCTGTACGCAAGGGCTGCAAAGCAGAGATGTCACAATCTACTTTCTCTGAGGGGCAGTAAAGTCCCAATTAGAACGGTGTTGCTGAACATGGATAGGCTAACCAGACTTCTTTTGGTCTAGGTACCAAATGACTTTTTATAACTTCTGCAGTGAAGACAGATAAAAAAGAAATTTTCAGCTTCTGCTCTGTGTCCTTATCCTCTTCTACTACTCTTTGAACTTCATGATTATCCAGTGGTCCAAATGTCTCCCTAGTTGGTTTCCTGCTTCTGATATAATTTAAAGTATTATTTACTGTTGCCCTCGTGAAGCAGACTGTGGCCCAGAAATTCTATACCATAATATATATTAGTTTTTAAGTTGCCACAAGGCTGCTTGTCGTTCGCATCACGAGAATGAATGAAAGACGTAGAGAATAGGGATGCATATACGCTTTTGCTTTGAACTTTATACTTTGAGCTTTTGTCACCAAAAATAGTCAAAGTTCGAAAAATTGTAAGATAAATAATGATGAAAAGTAAAGTAACAGTAAAAGTATGCCAATGTGACAATATTTGCAAATGATATATAGCTAATGACTGTCCTGAAGTATGAAAATAGTTGAGAACCGAAATCATACAAGCCTTCATCCAGCGAGGAACAGCTTCCACATGCATAGCCCTAGTACAATGGCAAACAGCGAATACAACCAGGAGCACATGGTTTCCATATTCCACTCATGCTCCGGACTACGCGAGCAAAGCCCCTTTGAAAAGCTGAAGACCAAATGACTGTTTTTTAAGGGGCATGACTGGAGCTAAATTGGGTTTCACCCTCCTTTTGCCAAACTGCATAGATAATCAGCAGGACTCCATTTTCAAAAGGGAGCTTTAAACTTTCCTGCACCACAATTTTAACAAACAGAGAAGTAAAATCCTGTATTTAATTAACATGTAAATGTTACTTACGTGTTATGATATAGTCCTGTGTGAGTGTCTCTGCTTGTCTCTCTTTTCTTTTTGTCTTTACAACACATAATTTTGCTCCCCTAAATTAAATTAAAATATGAAATAAAGGAGTCTGGTTGAGAAAAAGGAATATTCTACAATCTAATTTATATTTACTTGGACATAAATCCCTACTATGTTCAATGGAAGTCCCTACTATGTCCCTATAAGCTATTCTCTGTGTCTATAGCTTACTTTCTATGCAGAACAAAATGAACGGTGATTAAATTTTAAATGTCAGTTGGAACAGAGAGGGGGATAATATTGCCAGAGAATGAACGCACACACATGAACATGAGTGACATTTAGGTGTTGCATCTGGACCAATTATGGTTAATTTCAAACAAGCTAACTTTGAACAATAGTTACTGAAATTGCTTGTTCATATGAAGTAAGTGACCATTACATGATACCTGATGGAATACCTCTCCCAACTTTTATCTCCCCAGACACTACAATCATGTCCTGGGACTGTCCTCTGATTGCCAGTCCAAGGAAGGCTTGGATGGTGGCAACAAGGAGAGGAGCCTTTATGGCTCAGTGGCTGCCCCCCCCCCCCCCCGTTATGGATCAAGCTCCCTACTGAGGATAAGCTGGCACCACTTTACTATCTTTTTTTGCTCCAGGTAAAGACTGTCCTTTACTGCAGGACATTTAAGTAGTTACTGGGCCCTGCTGAAGTACTCTCTCCTTCTTCAAAGACCCCTAGCACAGTTACAATAGCTGCTTGGACTGAACTGCAAATATCGGAGGGCTGCTACTACATTTGTTGGCCAAACAGCCTTCTGTCTTCTGATACTGGCTGCTCAGTCCTCCCTGTGAAGATCTGGACTGCCTAAAGTGAGCCACCTCTGACTGGCGCACACTTCATGGGAATATGTTTTGCATTTCATATATGGCGGCAGTGCAAGAGTTCAGCCAAGTCCTGGAAAGCAGTAACCACAACCTTGAATGAGACATTACAGTGATAGCTGATTCTCAATCCAGGCTGCTTAAATAAACTATGCTAAAACACATCCATTTCATCAACATTAGCTTCCTTTATATATTTTTATAATGACTAGGATATGCAAACATGTCACATTCCTCTTAAGAACTGTGGGAGTTTCCAGATCTCGGCCTGTTCAATTCATGTGTTTGGAAAGCAGATCTATACCGAAATCCAGGTCTACTGTAGCACTAGGTTCCTTTCATTCTCTAAGCGTAACTTAAGGTAAAGGAACCCTTCCCCCCACCCCCTAAATCTGGGTCTCACATACCTCCAAATCCTTGGGTTAGCCTGGCTGAACGGGAGTGAGCCTTTTGCCTGCTTGCCACTTCCATTTGACCCAGCTTTCCAAAACAACAGGAACCACAGGATAAAAGTTTGGTACTGTAACCCCAAACAACCCGAAGTTCCAGGTCTGGATGTAATGACAACAGCTCAGCAATGGGGCATTCTCGGGTCATTTTGGAAAGCAGAGCAGGCAAGTGAAAAGGACCCAGCATGCCTGCTAATGCTCACAAGCAACACATGGATTGTTAACCATGAGAACTGGACCGATGTCTGGATTGTAAGACAGAATTCAGGCAAGGAAAAGCATGAAGTATTTCTGCAGTTGAATGAGGAGCAGTAGCACCATGAGATGTCAGAAAGATTCTTCAAGTACCATAGTATGGACCCTCAGTCTATGATCCAAGGTGATATTAAAAATTTACACTAAAAGAGGAGAAAGTAGTGAAGAAATCAACTGAACCATCTACTTGTCATTTCTTACTTGCACATTTACTATCATCTTGATGTAAAGTTAATGAGAAGGGAATGCAGAAACAGTGGAACAGACTAGAAATCTGTTTCCATTTCCATAACCTCTTCTTGAGCATGAGTGCAGAGCACAGCTGAATAGACAAATCATAAAAATGTAAGTTACGAAACTAGCGCCTTAGCCTCAGCACATTAAACATTTATTTATTTAGATATAAGGGGAATATATGCTCTGTACCCCCATGGCATTAAGCAATGGGAACCTACAGAGAATGGGCCAGTTCTGACACCACAATCAGCTTAATGAGCCATATTTTCTTAGGCTGGGGATGAACATTATGCCTTTGTGCTCTGCCCTCTTGTCCACAGGTTTCCCTGCTTGCATGACAATTGCACAAGACATGGAAGGCTTCTACTATATCCAAAATGGGAAACTGGGGTTTAATCATGGACTACAAACCATGATTCTGGTTTCATACCAAATTGTTTTGAGCACAAAATTAAATGTGTGAGATGTAAACTGTTGTTTAAAGTAACCCTGATAAAAGCACAGAAAGAACAGTGAGATGGGAGGACAACCATGATGTTTGCTCCCATCCAAATCATAGTTTGGCTGTAATAAATAATTTCGTCCAATGTGTGAGATATAGCTGTAGTTTTCTGTTCCTTACACAACTTAGGCATCACCTTAGATGCAGCATTCCAGAAATTTTAACTTACATAACATTAAGGGCACGATCCTAGGCAACTTTAGGCAGAGAAAAGCCCTACAACTCCCAGCTTCCCTCTGCCTAACCATAGCTACGATTGAACCCTAATTTTCAATAGTAGGGGAAGCTTTTTTAAACCCATCACCTTTAAAATGAAGCTCTGCATGTAGACAAAATTCAAGTAATGCTTTATGCACTTTAAGACATATTTACACATGTTGAGAAGTTTCAGATAAAATAAATGAAATACCTTTGGCTCTTGAGGGGATCATAGTAGACCTTAGCTAATCCATTCCCTGTACCAACCATAATTTGGTTCAGCTTTGGATGCCAGAGGCAACGGACAACACTCTGAAAAGTAATTAATTCTGATCAGTGATTTTAAATTTAGAAATGATATCCATAACCATGGAGTTCAGTTTAATGAGACAGTTACTTCTTCATTCCTCACTCCTAGGCTATCTTTATACTATGTCTTATAATGAAGACAAGTTGGTGGCGTCAGAACTTCTATCCTCACAAAAGTCTCAATCAACCTTTAACTGCAGTAGCTCCAGTAACTAGCTATATGCCTTTACAGCCCCAGTAGAGTCCCAAAGTTAACAGATTACAGCAATTTTTTAAAAGGTAAGAATTAGGTCACAAGCATCACAACTAAGGCCTCAACTTTGTGTGCTCAACTGTCAGCACAAAAAAACATAATCTTTGAAATTCAGAGTTCCAAGAAAGCAGGAAACCTTTCCAGTTACCAAAATCTACTACAGGTTGTTCAGGCTTAAATATAGGTGAGTGACTGATAAAGATCATTATTGGACTGTCATTCCTGATCAGGAAACCTGGCTCTCAGGTGATTGCTGCCACCCTATTTAGTTGACAATGCAACAATAGACACATCCCAAAATACCTCTCCTGTAGAAACCAACTGCTGTTGTCCTGCTCCCATGGAAGACATCCCTGGTTAAGAGGCAGGAGCCTTTGTCAATGTCAGGTCCCGCAGCTGCAGATGTTAGCAGTGCCAGTGTCCGGTGTCTCACCCTCCTCCTGGCTCATCAGCCAGTGGAAGTCCTGATAGAATGGAGTTCTCAGTCCTTAGCTGAAACTGACTCTATGGCTTCCACCTCTGACTAAAAATCAAAGCTTCTCCATGGACTAGGGTCATGTAGTCAATAGTCTTCCACACGTCTTTTAAATGGCTGCTTAGTCCTATAGGGCAGCATTTCCTAACCAGGCACCCTTCAGAGGGACTACAGCACCCACCATTCCAAACTATCAAGCTAGCTGAGTGATGCCAGAAGTTGTAGTCAAACAAATCTAAGGGATCTATCTATCTATCTATCTATCTATCTATCTATCTATCTATCTATCTAAAACATTTCTATGCCACCCCCATCGCAACAAAGCCTCAGGGCAGCTCACAAAAAATACAAAAAAACATACATAAACAATAACAATATAACAATTTAAAAGAAAAAAAAACATTAGCTTGGAGGACGATGGTCATTGGAAAGGCTCGGGCTGATCAGTATACACTGCCAAGACCAAAAAGAAAGCCAAACCCACGTAACCGGCTTGTACACTGGTTGATGCTGCTGAAAATCAAGCACATTATTCCCTCATTTATGAAGCTCCATGCATGCACACACTTCCTGGGAGCAGTATGCAGCTCTCTGGTTACCTCTGGGACTCTGGCTGCTGGTTACCAGAAACAGAACTTGTAGAATTTGATGCCCTGGAAAATAGTTGCTTGGTCCTATCCTTGCCTTCTTTCAAAAGCATTTGTGAGGACCCTCTTCTTAGTAGGAGATTTTTAAATGATCTGATGTTGTTTTTAAATTACACTGCTTTTATAGTATTTTACATTATTTATAATCAATCTATATTACATCTATGATATTTGTGATACCCTAAACATATGGAGAGCCAGTGTGGTGTGGCTTGTCCATGAAGCTGAATGGGTGACTTAGGCCCATACCTGACTCTCAGCCTAACCTCTCTCACAGGATTGTTGTGTGGATGCAATGTAGGAGGGCTGGAGGACAATGTAGGCTGCCTTGCACTCCTTGCAGGAGGAAAAACATGAAATATACGTGCAATAATAAACATTTGCTTTGGTTGCAGTCCTATACCCACTTTCCTAGTGGTAAGGTCTGCTGCAGTCACATTTAAAGACTTACATCTGAGAAGGCAGATAGGACTGTAAACGACAGAGAAAAGTCCCAACAGACAATAAGGAAAGAACAAGGTAGAGAAAAAACCTGTGGAGTTCAACTCCCATGTGCCCCAAAGACCAGGTTATGATGGCAACTGCAGTCCAGCAACATCTGAAGTTTACACATACTTCACTGCTGGTTTAAAACTTAGCTACAGTTTATAATGCAGATTAAGAGGCTAAATCAAAGACATGTGAGTGAGAAAGGGGACTTGAGGAAGGATTTGAAAGAAGGGTTATTTTGTATTGTTTTTATTGGTATTAGTTTTGTTTCATTAAACTGTAATCTGGCTTCAGTGCATGTTTTAAGGACAGGAATAAAAGAGTAAAATAATAAATACAAATGATAATAAAACTTTTATGATGTATACAATTATAAATGGGGTCATCTTGATTTGCTAAAAAGGCTATTCAGTTAAAACCTTATAAACAAAAGTCATGTGAAAACTGCCCCTTAAGCTAAATAGGTTTGATCAGTTAAGCAAGTAGAAGTCCATGTTTATTTTCAAGATGCTACATCTTATTCCATGACATTGCTCCTCAAAGCTCAATTAAGTTAATTGATTAAGTTAATTAATTAAGCTCAAGTTAAGAACCCCCATCACCTTTCAAGGGTTCTCTTCTTTCTCTGCAGCCTAGGAATGTCTTAGAGGAGCAACAGCAAGCTAATACATCATTTGGAAATACAATCTGCATCACCAACCATGGTCCTCTGCCAGTTGGAACAGAGAAAGTGCTCCTAAATTTTGGCAAATGCAGTGTGTGTGTGCTTGCACACGCACATGTGCACATGTGTGTATAAAAGGTTTGTCACATATATTAACAAGAAAGCATAAAGTACAGTTTTATTCTATCAGGGAAGCTTACATTAAACTTAATATGACTTTGGAGGCCTACATTATTATATTATAAAAGTCCCACTTGGTAGACCAAAGGGACTCCATAGGCATATCAAATTACCAATTTCTACACCATTTGGTCAACCATCATACCTTTCATGAATCCTGTACACATTTCTACTCTGTTTGAATGTTTAATATGGTTCATTTTCTAGCCTATACCAGCTGTAAAGTAAATGAATTTAAGCAATGGAACAATAAGGGAAATGGTTACCTGCTAACAAGCTCCAGGAAAGTATTTATGTGCATAGTCAGGTCAGCTAAAATATTATATTTGAACAGTGTATTGGTGGAGAAATTGAGTTGAAGGGGAGAAAAGAAATGTTGCTATGTTACCAAAGACTTCTTTGAAAATGTGAAATGGCAGCAGTTCTACTACGCTTTTGTAGTTGAGAAACAACACAAGCAACTCCTGAGAATGCTTTCAGTGCATGAACATGAGAGTTGTTGTAGACAAACCAGTAAGTTTTTCTAACCCCATCGTTCTGTTCTTGGCTTTCGCCATTCTGTGTAATTCTGCAATAGCTATTGCATGACTGGTATAACTGTCAATTGCTGGCCAACCAAAAATGGCCTTGCTGGCTAACCAAAAACAAGTGCTCGCCAGAAATCTGTTTCTCCCACAAAGGGTAAATAGATGAGGGTGACTAGGAGGAAAGCAGAAAGTCCTCTGTTCTCCTTCCAAACACCAAACATGAAGCTGGAGAGGCAGAACTGTTTCTGGAATCACACAGAGCTTCTGAGGTGCTTGAAGGGCTTCAAAGGTGCAACATGAAAACAAGCTCCAACCGCAGGGTTGGCATCAAGGATTAGCATGATCAGGTAACTGCCAAGAGCTGTATCCCAGCAGGGATCCACCAATAAAAACCCTCTAGAGTTGCCCCTCCTCTTCAGTCTTTCAACCTGTGTTCCCCTGCTTCTCACTCTAGTCCAGACAATGGTGGCGGTGAGAAGAACACTCCAGCAAGGGGCCACTTGCTCCTCTTCTTTATGACTGCAATTTGCTTTATGCCTGTTCTGGCCCAGGTGATGGTACTGGTGGGATGGAGCAGTAGCAGATGCCACTGGCTATTTGCTCATTGGCTCTTTGCCTGCCAAGCAAGCAAGCCATAATGAGAAGGATGAGGTGGGAGCAAGAGCAGCTGGTGACAATGGTGGTGACAAGGTGGACTCACTGAGGAAGGGCTCCCATTGAATGTGTTTGGCAACAGGGAACCAGAGAACGGGGAGGTCCCTTCTCCAATTTTACTAGCTTTTGCTAGCTGCTCAAAGGGCCTCAGAGCCCCATGCAACTGCAGGGGAAATCTCTGCTCCCATCTGCAGCTCCAGAGTTGGAAAGAAGCCTGGGATTTGCAGTTTTGGCATTGTGCTTCTGAGCACCTGGGAAAGGGGAATACCCAAAACAAACCCTAGACTTCTCCACAACTTTGGAACTGGAGGAAGCACAAGGTTCACTCCCACAGTGGTGCTGCATTCTGATGCCCTCCAGAGCACTGGGAAACAGTGGCAGCAATCTCTGTCTCTCACTCCACCTCTAAAGTTGGGTGCAAGGGTGGTGAGATACACTGCAGAACCTTTAGTCTAAAATGATTGCTTCTTTTTTGTGGTTCATTTCTTTTAAAAATGCCCACATCTTTAAATGTGCTGAAAGTGTATGTGAGCCAGTGTGGCACAGTGGGGAAAGTGTGGGATTGGGACTTGGGAGATCTGGGATCCAGTACCCACTCAGCCATGAAGCTCACTCAGTGACTTTGGGCCTGTGACAGACTCTCAGCCTAATCTACCTCACAGAGTTGTTGCTGTGAGGATAAAACAGAAAGGAGAAGAACCCTGTAAACTTCCTTGGGTTCCTTTCAATAGGATGAAGGTGGAGTAAAATGTAACTTAATAGTAATATACCTATCTAAATAAATAGTGGCATAAACACTAATAACCAGATCAAAATCCAAGGGTCTTTTTCCTCTTTACTGCAGTTTCTTAGCTAGCCCCTTTCCCACGGCAAGCAATGCTTTGAGGCACACGACACTTTCTACTTCTGCTTTATGCTTCGATGAAACACAGCTGTCAGACACAGATAGATTCAAAACCAAATCAGTGCTCCCAGTCCTTGACCTTAATTAAAAACATAGAGTTGAATATCATTAGCATGTTGATGCTGCTTAATGTAGCCTTCCCCATCCTGTTCCCTTCCAGATGTGTTGTGATACAGCTCCAGTTACCTTCAGCCGGCACAGCTAATGGAA